TCCCATCTCTTTGACACCAAATGAATGTGTGGCATTCATTTGGGAATGAAAAGAAACGTACTATACAAAACACACAAGAAAGAGGAATTGTTGTGTTTGGGGAAGCCTCCAGGTTTTCAAAATGACTCTCATAAAGGATCACTGATTTACAGAGTCACATTATTATTATTATTATTATTATTATTATTATTATTATTATTATTATTATTATTATTATTATTATGCATTTTAGATTGACCCTATCAGCGGGATGTTCATGAATATTTACCAGCTCCAGGAATATATGCAGGTAATTCCATGGGTTTTGTGGGGGCACAAACCTTTTTTACGCATTGCCGTGGCTGCTTCTCCGAGATGCCAACTCTGGGTGGGAGAAGGAAAAGGAGGGCCAGGATGTACACCAAGCGCTTTTGCAAAAGAGCCTCCTTGCCATTTTGAGTCATAAGCGGCACGTGTAAGAACAGAAGAGAAGCCCATTTCCTGGAGCTGAGGAAAACTGGCTTCTTTCACCATCCTGTCTCTCCCACTCGAGGCAAGAGAGAAATAGCCTCACCCGCTCTGGCCTTCTTGCAACTGGTAGCCGGGGGCACGATGTGCCTCAGAGCAAGCGGGTGGCCCCAGTTTTATAGCGGCAGGGAACCCATTTTGTGTTTCACTCCAAAAGCAAAAACAAAAAAGGACCATCCTGTGTGTCGGACTTATTGGGAGGGGGATCAGGTTCAGGACCTCGGACAGATCTTCTAAAGTTTGGACTCAAGAGGGAGCGAATTCAGTGCCCCTGGAACCTCAGAGGCATCTGCCATCCCTAACTAAAACACAAACATTCGTTATGAGTTCCAGACATCCTTCGATAAGAAGATCCAGATTAGCTCTTTGGTCGCTTTGTTTCCAGGGAGTGGGAATTATACTCCTACCGAGCTCAACATGGACTGGGTTTTAAAGGTTCGAAAAAGGAACTGGGAAAACTGGGGAGGTGGAGGGAGAAAGCAACTCCAAGAACCCCCCAGCCAGCATGGCCATGGGTCCAGGGGAATTCTGGGAAGTATAGTCCAAAAAAGCAAGCAAAGAAGGAAGGGGCATTTTTCGGAGATCTTAATATTGGCTCTTAGAAGCAAACATTCAACAGCAGAGGCCTTGGTTCCTTTTGGCGAGAGAGGAAGGTGACCGCTTTGACTCGGTTCTCCTCTGTAGGAAGCCATCATGGAGCCACTGGACCACAAGAACCTGGACCAGGATGTGGACTTTTTTGCCGATGTTATAAGGTAGGTAAGCTGGGAAAGGTGCATGTCTGGGCTGCTATAGGGTGGCCGGGTCTTAGGTGAGGGCCTTGATTTCTCAGTCAATGGGACGCTGCTGATCTGGCAGCCCCGATATAGGTTTTGAGTTTCATCCTGATGCCCTGCAGATCGGCCAGAGATCTACAAGGAAATCCGATGTTATTCTTGACACAACTTAGAAAAGGGGGGGGGGGCTCAACAAATTTGCCTTTTTTTCCCTCTCACAAGAAGAAACAAGTCCAAAAAAATGGAACTTTCCTAAGCTCCACTTCCAGAGGTTGCCTGGGCCATTTTGTCAGAGCAGAAATCTGGTGGTTTGGGGGTTTTTTGTGTGTGTGGCCCAAACAAACATTCCCTCAGAGTAGAATATATGCGCACTTGAATATAAAGTCACAAGAAAGCAGTCATGGCTGCAAACAGAGACAGGTCAGTAAATAGCATCGGCTTTCTGTAAACACAAAACCCAATTTCATTGACTGTTTTCTCTTCTTGTCCTCCTCAACCCCTCTCCACTCTTCCTTCTTCAGCACAACAGAAAACTTAGCCGTGTACATCTGGAACAACCTTGAAAAAATCCTACCCTCTGGTTGCCTGTACAAAGTCAAGGTCTACGAATCTGACAGAAACTTTATTGTATACAAAGGGAACTAATACCGGAGATGCAAATTTGAAAGGGGAACGTGTCGTGGCTGGGAAAGTTATTTCCGCAGATGTGTATTAGCGCTCCTTATGTGTCCACATTGATAATCCCTGATAAGAACACTTGCAAACTATACAATGTAAAGATTACACATTTAGGAAGTGGGCTTGTCCACAAAAACTCACATTAAAATATACCAGGTTTTTTGGCATCATTACATGTTGGTCTTCTTCTTTTTTTAACGTTTCTTTTCTTTTTGGCTCGATATACTGCACATTTAGCTCATCTTTAAACATAGTGTTCCAGTTGGGGGGGGGGGAACAGTAGTTAGAAAGATCTGTACTTTCACAGTTGTATATCCTCACCTTTTGCTCCAGTACCCTAGCAAACAAACAAAAGTTTTGTTTTCAGTCAATTCTTTCCCACATGCACTTGATGAGGGACCAGTAAACCTTTAGAGCAAATGAGTTACAAAAGACTGTGCATAGGGGTTGATGTGAAGAGTCTACCGTGATCATATATCAGCGATCACCATAACCCCAACCTCAAAACCAAGCAATACTAGACTTAGACCTTCTGAGTCTACCTTGTCCTCATAAAACCTCACAAGCCAATCTGCCTGAATAAAGAAGCATAGCCTGGATGGTTAATTGGGTGGTTTCATAACACCAGGATTGTTATGATACCTAACGTATGAGATGCTTTGGTGAGATTTTATTGAATAAACAAAGCCTGGTGATTTTTTGGGGCTATTAAGCGCACAAATTTCAGATGGGCCAGTATAATGGGAAACTGCGCTAATGGCAAGAAAACATCCCGCCCCTTCCATAATTTCTGCACACTAATTAATGATATGAAACCCTTTCACCGAACACAGCACAGTTCATATTACGACGAGAAGAGGAAGAAATAGACGTGATTAAAACCTACCCAACTTCTCAGCTCTGATGAGTGGAGACTCTGGAAGGGATCCTTTATCCACTTCGTCAAAGCCAAACTTACCATGTGACAGAATTTGGAAAAGTTACTTTTAGGAATCTAATTCCCCCAACAAGTATAGCCAGTGGCCATACTGGTTGTGCGAGTCCAGGAGCTATAAGACCAAAAAAATAAATAGCTTCTCAAAGATCTCCCATGCTAGCCTTTTGTTTATGGTAGCAATCGCCCACCTTTGGGGAAATTACGTTGTTCACGCTGGGACGGGCAGCCCAACAGATAACGCTTCCACAATGAAGCATCAGTTCTTTCCATGTTACTTCGGCACGAACTGTTCCCAGAATGGCCACTCAGTAATCGGTCAGAAAGAACCACGACTGCAGCCACTTTACCAAGGATCAGCCAAAGACGTTTCTCTCCAAAGAGATGTTGCGTTGCCATCTTTTACATAGAAGTGTACTGGACGGATGGCTGGATTTTACACAACTGAAGGTACAGTACAACTTCCTGCATCACACGGAAGGCGAAAAACAAGCTCAGGGGTGTTGGATCAGATCTAAGAGGCATCACAGCTTGTATTGCAAGCCCTAGATTCCCGTAGTCAGCATGCTAGAGAAAACATGAAGTTGGAAGGGGAACAAAGAAGAACAGCTCTCATGACATGGATTAACTCAACACTCTTGATCCAGGTGACCTGAGCAGGGCTGTTAATGAGAAAACTTTTTGGAAGTCATCCACTCAGGTCAATGTACATCAAAAGCAATTTGATGCCTTTATTTATACTAATTAATAATAATTGTGTGCTATCCATTCCAACTTATGGCAGCCCTTATAGTGACCCTTTCTAGCTAGCGAACACTCAGAAGTGGTTGACCATCCTCTTTTTCTGAGGCTTCCCTGGGACTGTGCAGCCGGCCCAAGGCCACCCAGGCTGACTCTTCCCACAGGAGACACAGTAGGGAATCAAAGTCCCAACTTCTGGTTCTGCAGCCAGATACTTTAAAAGCAAAGCAAAGTGTGCTGCTTATATACCACCCCATAACCCTTAAAGCACTCACTGGGCAGTTTAGAAGCTAGTTATGCAGACTACACATTGGCTTCCCACCCCCCCAAAACCTGCTACAAGCATTTTTTACCAGCCTCAGAAGGATGGAAGGCTGAGTCAGCCTTGAGCTGGCTATCTGACATTGCAGTGGTCCCCAATCTTGGGCCTCCAGATGTTCTTGGACTACAACTCCCACAAGCCTTCACCACCACCTCTGCTGGCCAGGATTTCTGGGAGTTGGACATCTGGAGACCCAAGGTTGGGGACCACTGTGGTATTGAATGCCAGGTCATGAGAGGAGTTTTGGCTGCAGTACAGCAGTTTAACCACTGTGCCACAAGGCTCACTAAGTCATCCACCCAGCTTAATCTTAATGCTTGTTCTGATGAAGTTAATGTTCTTGCTTGAAAAAGTAGGCAGAACAACGTTAACATCACAGGGGGGAGAAAAGCCACACAGGAAGTTAAAGTGTTGGACTAATTCAAATAAGCCTTTGTGTTACAGATGCGGTCACTTTAAAAATGTTCACATGCACCCATTTTATCAGTGAAGCAAATTTCACAGTAAAAGATCATAAAATTTGGCTTATTGTTGTCTTATGAACAAGTCAACCACTTTTTTAATGGGTTTATCCATACACATCAGCATTCATAATTTTCAGCATGACTGCCTAGCAGAAAAGCATGTCCTGGAAGAGGACGGAGACAACCAGCATCCATCCAACTTGCAGGATATTCTCTGTTTGGAAGCCATTCTTTCCCAGCTAGGCAAGGATCCCAGCGTACTGCCTTCAAGCTATGACAGAACATTCTATTACTTGCTCTAGATGGTGTTGTCCTGAAGCCTACAGTTATACTAATAAAAAATGTCAGATGTTGGTCTTGCAAACAAGAGACTCCCCTATAAGTAGATGAACACGCCGCCGCCCCCACACTTTCTCTACAGGAAAGAGACAATGTTGGGAAGAGTGAGCCAAATTTGGGCCTCGAGTGGGTCAGATCGAGATCCAGACCCTTCAGGAGACCGGATGAGACATGCGTGTTGGTGCTTTGCTTCCCCGGTTCTCTCTAACGCACTGCTTCCTGTAAGAAGGGGTCGTAATCCACTCTCCAGGACAGTCGTTCCCAACTTTGGGTCCCCAGATGTTCTTGGACTCCAACTCCCAGACGTCCTTTGCCAGCTGGGCTAGTGATGAAGGCTTCTGGGTGTTTTAGTCCAAGAATATCCGGAGATCCAAATTTGGGAACTTCTGCTCCAGGACTTCAGACATGAGAAACAAGGGACTGAAACTCGGGTCTCGTTTGCACTAAACAGTTGCTCTAAGATCTAACTCACAAGGTCATCATACGTTGCTAGTCCCGCATCCTCTGGGACTGAAACTCGGGTCTCGTTTGCACTAATCAGTCACTCTAAGATCTAACTCACAAGGTCATCTTGCGTTGCTAGTCTCACATCCTCTGGACTAGGATTTCCCCGGGAACCCACACAGCACCGCTGGCAGGTGTTCGGTTTTGCCTTCTTCCCACTATAGTGATGGGAGAAGCTCTCTACCTGTGCTATGTCTGCCTCTGGAAATGCCATTCAGCCATGAATTTTACAAGAAGGCTGGTCCCTTTCAGAGTGCACTGCTTTACGCCACAAGGATGGGGTAAGGAAGGCTCAAGGGGCCACCCTGGGAGGAAAGGCCAGCCACAAACAGGCCCAATAAGAAAACGACAGTCCTGGATCTTTGTGGACATCTAGGGCACCGTTGGCCCTCCAGATGTTTGGGGTCGCGGTTTAGCTGTCCCCCAGCACGCTCAGGAATCGGGTGATGAGAGAGCCCCACATCCCCACCGTTGTCACAGCCTCCTTGCTAGGCACCCTCCTTTTAGAAGCACAGGAGTGGCGTTGCTGAGGATCAAAACTGGCAGGGCTCCCAGGGAATGCACAGGAATGGGAACCGCTTTGAGATGCCAGGAGCAAGCCAGGTGGGTACACACTGCTCCCGACGACACGCTCAGGAATCGGGTGATGAGAGAGCCCCACATCCCCACCGTTGTCACAGCCTCCTTGCTAGGCACCCTCCTTTTAGAAGCACAGGAGTGGCGTTGCTGAGGATCAAAACTGGCAGGGCTCCCAGGGAATGCACAGGAATGGGAACCGCTTTGAGATGCCAGGAGCAAGCCAGGTGGGTACACACTGCTCCCGACGACGAGCATATGCCTCGCAAGGGCTGCCACTGAGGCCGNCCCTTGGGGGGGGGGGGCGAGCTGCATTAAGGCTCACCCACAACCCACACATCTGGCTGCAACGTGGGACACACACACACACACACACCGGTGTGCATGCAACCGTGGCTGCCCTGTTTGCAAGCATTTAAGGCAGGATTGGGGGGGGGCGTGCATTTCTCCAAATGCCTTCTGGGCTGCCTCAGCACCCCTCAGGGCGAGCTCAGGGTGCAAGGGATCCATGCATCGACCAGGAGCAGCGCTGGCAAAGAGAACGAAAAGCTTCGTGCCCACCCGTAAGGCAAGCAAGCCTTCTTTGGCCTCAGCTCCGAATGAAATGAGGTTTTTGCTCTTGCTCTGGCTGCAACCTCGGCTCCTTCCTTCCCTGGCAGGCAGAAGCGCTCCTCCCCCGCCCGCCCAGCTCCCTCAGCCCAGCTCGCCTGCCCGCTGCCCTTCGAAGGGCAAGGGCTACAGGGACGGACTGCGCATGCTTCCTCTTGCCTAGCTCTGCAAACCCCCCCCCATTTCCCCTCCAAATATGCGGGGGCTTCAGCGACCCTACTACTGCGCACGCTCCCGCGAGGCAGGGCGCATGCCCAGTCACGTTCCGCGCCGGGGCCGCTCGTTGCTATGGCGCCGCCGGGGCGCTCTCCGAGGCCTAGTCCCCTGGCGAGGGTTTCTCGCTGCGTCTCGTTCAGCGCCTGCCACCGGCTGCACAGGTGAGGGAGGGGGGGGGGAAGAAGGAGAAAGGGGGCCGGCCGGCGGGGGGGGGGAGGAGAGGGGAACCCCACGGCCGGTGCCCCCCA